CTACTCTATCGCGTCTAGGGGAATCTGTCAGGCCAAACTACGAGGCATATATATATGAAATAGGATGGATCATCTCAGAATTTCCATCTTTGAAGGAATTGTATAATATCCCCCTGCAGAGTAAAGACTTGGAAATCGCGAGAGACAGATTGGGTTTACAAGAAGTACAAACGTAGGACGATCCAAACACATTCGTATCTATAGCGGAGACAATCCCATCAATTCGAAGGGTTACATTTTTGAACGTGATTGGCCGATTTAGTAGAACAGGAACTGGCTTCGAACTGGCTGCTGAATCATCTCATCAGCTGAGCTGGACTCATTTCAAATGGAGTAGATACACCGTTTCTTTCCCTATGCCCCTTCTACATCGCCTTCTAAATATTACTAGTCTTTATTTGGGTGGAAACCTCTCCGTTATCAAAACACTTGTTTCAATCATCCACCAATTTCCAAATCTGCTCTCATTTGAGACCTTTGTCTCTCTTAATCATGGAGATGACCTTTTATCACCGCCGATGCTCCTTTCTAACCGCGGAGTCCGTACACTGAAGATGCTTATCTCGCCTCCAGATAATTACGACTTACTAGACAATCCCAAGGAAAGAGAGCTCCTGCTGATAGAGTGCCACAGGATTCCAGAAATGCTGCTCCATGCGATGCCAAATGCTGATTATCTCAAGCTATCCATTATAGGGGGACAATCCTCATTCCCTTTCTTCTCTCTGAGAGAATCTTTTATTGGGAATGAAATGTTTATCTACTTTTCCGAATGCATGGCTCTAGTGTCAGAAGACATGCAGATACCCTCGTCTGTGGAGACTTTATTTATAGATTGTAACTGGAGTGCCCTGTGTTCTCTCTCCTCCGGCACATTGAAACACCTAGATCTTCTTCAAGATTTTGGCGAGGACCCTGCTGATGAATATTTGGAAGATGTTTGCTCTCCTATAGCCCCTCTAGAGCGACAAATAGATTTAAGGTCCTGGCCCTCTCTAGAGACAATATGTCTTTACAAGAACTGGGTACGATGGGACCAAGCTTCACTCAATTCCTTGAGAACAGTCACAATTTGGGAGTCCGATTATTACAAAGTAGTTGATAATGTGACATATTTCCTCAAAGAAATTGCATGTCGACCCGAGTCATACCCCTCTATGGAGGAGATTCATTTGGGAGCATGTCCTGAGTGGGATATTCTATTAATCATGCTTGAACGCCGGAATCTCTTTTCAAGCTCTCAGGTCAGGAGAATAAAGAAGCTTGGTATATCATCCCGTATACCTCGCAATATCCATCTGATTCTAGCAGAGCTGTTGCGCTGTAAATGGGTGGATAGACCATCTAATCGATATTTATCTCTATCAGGAAATGCAAATGCTATATTGGATTCAAATAAGTAAGGGTGGATATCGAATCTCTAGACAATTCTAACAAAACTCGTGTAGAACGGGCTGCTATATGTGCCATCGAGCACTGCGCCCATGTAAGGAGCCAATAAAAGTCGGGTGGGAAATTTTCGATAAGCACGACGAGGTATTGATAGGGGAATTACACGAGTACCCGGACAACGATGACGATGCTCTTGGTAGTTGGTGCATAAGAGCAAAGTTATGGGATCAATGGAATGGCGGTAGAAGCTGGAGAGAACTTTGCTGTCAAGACCAGAAGGCTAGTTCTATAATTCTCATTGATGCAGACTCGTATCCATAACTTAGTATTGAGAAAGAAGCAAAATATAGCTCGGCTTTACTGAAAAGTAGAAATAAGTAGGGCTAAGGGAATGATTTGATAGTAATCTTCGTTTAGCAGGAACCATGCAACTCATGGAATTCAGGTAACTCAATTTTCCTGTACATTTCATTGGCCTAGAAGGAATCTGCCGTTATAGATTTGAATGTACCAACAGACCAACTACATCTTAGCAATCGCCCTGCGGTATTTCTGTCAATGCCCTCCCAGAGAAGAGCTCTATCAGTCCAAGAGGAAAGTATTTCATCCTCTTCATTAGGATAGACTTTCAGAGCTTCTATCGAGTCTTGTATATTATCTGTTTTTGAAGCGTTCTCCACCACAATGTTGCAAAAGCGTAACCCACGATGGCACATGTAACATCCCGGCCTGAAGCCATGGTCTTTAGCGAGAACATTTATATGATGAAGGAGTACACTCACAGATTCAGATCAAGAAGAATTTCAGCATTACCTGCCAGCGAGAGGTCCTTATTGCTTGGCCGTTCAGCCCATTTACCCTTAAGAAGACTGCTGATAATTTTTCGTACAGAAAGAGAGCATGAGGATTGAAACGAGATCTTCTCTATCTTCTTGATACTAGAGCCTTGTAGTAGATTTCGGCGTTCAAGCATTATCACGAGAATGTCTAGCTCAGGACATTCGCCAAGCTCAATCTCCTCCAAAGCTGGGTAGGAATCAGGACAGCAGGCAACATCCTTGATGAAAGAAGTAAAAATTTTATTTTGCCTAGACTTACCGGCTTCCCCAAAAATGCCCACATATCTGAGGAAAGCCAATGAGAATTTGCTCCACACCACGGGTCTGCCATAGAGGGAGATTCGCTGAATTGCTGGCCAGTGGTTTAGATCGATATCCAAAGGGAGATAATCGTCTGAAGCAGTGTTTCTACGATGAGGTTGGCTGATTGAAAGAGATTGTAAAGATTTGGAGAAGAAGGAGTTGGCCATGACACCATCGCATCTTAGACGTAGTCGAAGTGTGAAAGAAGGCAGCAGAATGATAGTCGAACATTCCATGATATCATACGGTAAGTCTAGATCGAGTATGGTCCCCGCAAAAATCGCTGCAAGCTCGAATAGAGGAATAGA